ATACTTTTTAAAAGAAAGGACTGGCAGCGATATAGCAGCCACAGGACACCTGAATCTTTCAGAGAAGGAGAATTTATTGCTCCATTATCAGGAGAAACGAATTTCTTCCTGCCTCGAAGGCGCTGTTAGGGTTCAGAGGAAGAAGTTGACACTGACCAGACAGAATCCTGTGTTTGAATGGAACTTATGCATCATGGATGAGGTGTATGAACATGCAACGGGCTGTTGCTTTTAAGGGTTAATCCTGTGTTAACGTGGGTCCTTTTTTGGGTTCATGCTGCCCGGAAAAAAGTACCTGGAGGTATAGTAACCCTTTGTCTCTATTATCTCATATTGTCCAAATTGTTATTACTCTGATTGTGTTACTATTTTTTTAACCATTTTATTGCTATTAATTTTTTTAAAAAATTAAAAACAAGTGATTGGCGTTTTCCCCACGAGCCCTGGGGCTGTGGCTGTGCCGCAGAAAGGAGCCCTTGTGCTCTGCCTGAGCGCCCCTCAGGTGTTGAGCCAAATCTGCTGGGATTGCTTCCCATTCTTTCTAATCTTACAAAAAGACTAAATAATGTTGTGGGCTGGAGTGTGATACCCCAAACAAATCATATCACTGGGAACTGGGGGGGTTGACTGGGGAAAAGGAGGCTCAGATGGACCCTGTGGCTCTGCACAGCTCCTGGCAGGAGGGACAGACAGGTGGGATCAGGGACAGGACAGGGGGAAACGGCCTCAGGCTGTGCCAGGGAGGCTCAGGTTGGGCATTTCTTCATGGGAAGGGTGGTCAAACACTGGAATGGCTGCCCAGGGAAGGGATGGAGTCTCCATCCCTGCAGGTGCTCGAGGCGATGTCACAGACATCTTTTATGAAAAATCTTTTCTTTAAGATTTTTCTTCCTGAGAAGGTGAGAGGCTTCAGGAGCAAAATGTAAATAATGATTATTTGCAGCTGTGCAATGCAACAGGTAGAGTTCTGATTAGTCTCATGTAGCTGTTTCTAATTAATAGCTAATCACAGTCAGCTGGCTCAGACTCTCTGAGCCACAAGTTTTTGTTATTATTATTTTTTTATTTTATTCTTAGCTAGCTTTTTGATGAATTTTTTTTATTCTTTTAGTATAGTTTTAGTGTAATATATATATCATAAAATAATAAATCAAGCCTTCTGAAACACGGAGTCAGATCTTTGTTTCTTCTTTCATCTTTGGATTCCTGTGAACATGGTCACAGATGTGGCACTCAGCACTCTAGTCTAATTAACAAGGTGGTGATGGTCCAGGGTTTGACTCAGTCTTGGAGGTCTTTTCCAACCCAAACGATTCTGTGATTCTGAGACTGCTTCTAATGCAGGTGCCTTGCTTCGAAAGACAGGTGTGTGCCAAGGAAGGCGGGAATGCAGAATGTGACCCCCTTCCCTCGGAATATTATAGCTTTAAATGAGGGCGCTTTCGGGCAGAGCCCTGGGGAGAGGCCGGGGNTAGATCTGTAATGTCAGCTTCCTAAGGGAAACAGCATTCTCACTCATTTTGGTTTTAGCCTTCAGAGACTGGTGAGATCCTGGAAACTGAGCTATCACTGGCACAGGAACAGAAAAGCATCATTACAGAGAATACTCATTTTAAAATTCCACAATATTTTAAGTTGCACTTAAAAAACTGTCCACCTATCTCCATAATACATATTGAGAGACAAATAAAATAAATAGGAAAAGAAAGGAAGAAAATTTAAGATAAAATACCTCAGAGGACTATTATGCTCTGAAGTTTATGGTGTTCCCACCACTGGTCAGTGGCTTAACAGCAGATATTTTACACAGCCTGCAGTAAGAGTTCAGTAATTCTACACATGCAGTTTCCTAAACAAATGCAATAATCCATCTACATGGATAATGACTGTTTTCTCTTAGCACAAAGACAGCCATTTAACAAATTTTTGTGTTCAACGTCACAAACCAAGAATTAAGTTTGCTAGCTGCAATGGGATGACTCATCTGTTTGCAGAATTGTGATATTGCCTTAGTGCACGGTAAATGAACCAGAACTACACATTCAAGTGTTGCAATAATTAATTTATTCTAAAATAATCCTCATGGTTTAAGTAGTAAAAAAATGAAAGAAACATGTAAACATTGTTCAGGGCATCATGTCAAAGGACATCAACAAATCAGATCCTGAAAAGCAACAAGCAATTACAGGAAAACGCTGCGTGCCCTCATTATTACATAAGGAAACGAGAAGAGAGAGTGTCCAGCAATTGTTGTCCAAGCTCTTTATTTTGCCATCTTCACAGAGGAATTTTCCATTTTCTCCTCTGCCTTATCCTTGCCACCAAACGTAGGACTTCAAACACCAATTACCTTCCCTTGCTCAAAATTAAAAGGAGCCCCCAAGAACAGCTGTACTTTCATATCTCAGTGTTTATTTACAGACTTGTACTGATAACTGCACTGAAAAGGCCTTTCCCCTGCTGCCCTTCCCCACCCTCACAGACAGGCACAGAACAACACTCAGTTGGATCCAGCCTGGCAAGCTTTTATCTTCCCAAGCACTCCTACAAAGCCACGGAGACGCCCTTGGCAAACAGGGTCTGGCTGGAGCAGGGTTTGCTGCAAAGGTTTGTGCGTGCAAACACAAACACACTTCAGTGCTCACTCTCTGCTGGAAACGCAGTTATTTCATTAAGGCAGCTAAACCAGAGTGTCTATACAGTTATACAGTTACAGGCCAACTCTTAAAAAATACTTACTTCAAATTTGAACCACTCAGAATTCCACTGAGGATTAAGTGATTTGGGATACACATCTGTCTTAAATGTTGTATTTCCAAATTTCACCTAAAAAACAAAAACATTCAATTAGCTATTACAAATATTAATAAAAAGATTTTGGAACTCATTTAATTGACATATACAAGTAATTTCAAATACAAATTTCAACAAATCATTTTCTTTTCACTGAGTGGCTTTTAAATTCAGTTTATATGTATCAGTATCCACGTGTCAATGACATTTTCAATCAATCTCTCTCATCCTGTCATACTACTAAAATTGTTTCTTTTCCTCCTCAATCATTTCAGAGGCAAAAATATCTCTTATTTTGGCTATTCAAAGTCACTTTACATACTCTTCTTGCCTTCCACAAGGAAAAATATTCTAAACACTGATAGTTTATTACTCTTTTCTCTAGCATTTCTCAATCAGCTTCACAGACAATTGATGAAATAAACATAAAGACAAAATGGATTTGATCTATACAGAGAGAGGACTACTAAAAATTGAATATTTTCCACGCTCTTATCTCTTATTTCCCCTTCAACCACATAATAACTCATTTCAGCAGTACCCATATGGTCTCCACAGGCATCTATTTCAGGCTAAGCCCATTTGGGTTTTGTGGGGGCTTCTTGTTTCCTTTTTTAAAGTGAAACTGAATTTCTGTGATGCTCCATACATCAGGAAGCCACACAGCACATGGAAGAGCCTTTATTTCTCTGCAGCTCTCATTGCAAACCATTCCCAAACACCTGCAGTTCTCTGAATGCTGCTTCTCAAAGAAATGAGCACTGCACCTCATACTGGGTACTTACAAATACTCCAAGTTACATTTTTAAACTTATTCAAGATTCTTAAGGAAAATAGTGACTAGGCAGATGGAAAGAAACGCTGGAGCTATTGGTTTTGACAGCTTTTATCACTGACAAGGCCAAAGACACTTTGTTAAGGAATCGGAGGCCGGGATGAGAGCGCTGCGGTGGTTTTGCTCAGGACAGTGTGAAGTGCCCGCCTGTTTCAGCACCGGCGCTCATCCTGCTCAGGGGCCTCTCCCCGCGCTGGAGGGACTCTGCACTTGCTGCAGGGCAATCAGGGATGGCAGCACTGGCTGCAAGGAGCTGCCAAGGAAATGCCAGCCCTGGCTCCAGGCTGCCAGCTCCGACACCCTGAGCTCCACCCTGCCTATTTCAAGGCGTTATCTCGGGAGTAAATCAGTTCCCTCAGAGCCCCAGGCAGTCATAACTGAATTTCCCCCGTGCTCCAGCCAGGTCATGGAAGCTGGTACAGATAATAAAACAGCACCCTGCTGCCCACTGTGCAACGTTAAAAGCACATCATGGAAGAAATTGTAACAAAATATTCTGAGCTGGGACAAGGATCACTGTGCTCACACTAGTGAAGCCCAAGTTTTGCATGCCCTGAGCCACGTAAGAGCCCTGAGGTCTCTTCTCATTTTCTTTTCCAGTTCTAAGTTTACATTGCAATATTTAACAAGGAAATGTAAGGTTAGTAAAGAACTAGAACCTTAACATCCGCTTTTCATTTTTATTTAAGGAAAAGCACATTGTAGCTTTTCAACAATCTCACACAGAAAAATGAAACAAGAGTTTCAATCTCAACTTATTTTGCAATAAATCTCACCTGCTGCATTGCCTACTCCATAGAGGCAAAGGGAGGTTCCTTCACACCGATCCTAACTAACAATCCTGAAAGCACGGCCCTCACCTGGGTATTTCTACACCCTTCTCTGTGCCAAGACACCCATGGAACTGCAGGGCAACCCAGCTAAACTGATCTTGATGAAAATGTTCCTTTTCCTTCTTTGCTACGCTAGTATTTTACTATATAATTACAAGAATCTGCTTTGCTACACCACAGTAGGGCTGGGAACAAGTGTCCCACAGAGGAGGAGAGCTGTTTCTCCTGACACAGAGTAAAACCAGGCCAATGAAACTCAGTGAACTGCATTTGCTAGTCCTGTTTCCCCCGTCTCCTAGTAGCAAGCATCAGAGTTGTTGTAATTTCAGACTGGATTAACGGGCAGCCTGCAAGAGAAGCTTTTAAAAATTAAAACCTGACCAGTGCAACAGCTGACAAAACAGTGAAAGACTAAGTTCCATTTAATAAAACAAAACTATGTACTATTTCTGCTCCACTGAAATGCTGCAAGACATCCTCACTCGACCAGCAGGTTACTCTCCCATTAAGCAATGTCCTTGAAGTCTAACAGCAACCAATTTTTAAGCACAAAATTAAATCAGGACTTATATATGCCAAATTTATTTTTATATTAATATTATCATATTTCCCAGTGTATACAGGTCCAGAAAGGCATTCTGTCCTCCTATTTGATTCTAGTATTGTGCCAACTTCAACCACTCATTTGTGATACACCTCAATCAGTATTTGGGGTACAAGACATGCATTTCCAGAGCACACCTCTGATTTTTCCCAGAGTATGAGTCCCAAACCTATGGAATGCTTCTGAAATGTTCTAAGTCATTCATACTGGAAAAAAATGAATCAAAAACCATAAGGATCATGTAACAGAAACAATAAAAAGGCTTGGATTGGAAGGGACCCCAAAGTCCATCCCATTCCTCCTGCCACGGGCAGGGATGTCACCCATTGGAGCACATGGCTCAGAGCCCCATCCAAACTGGGCCTTCAATAATTCCACTTTGCACTTCAGCTTATTTCACAATCCCTTCCTAGTAAGACCCTACATATTGCCTGCAAACTACGTGACTGCAAAGAAGGTTAAAGCTAGATACTCTGGGGGCAACAAAGTGATTTAAGCACACAAACATTAGTATCTGTTGACGAAAAGCCCCCTTTAAAGACATTTTAGTATTTCAAATGTTTTAAAAGGCAAGACGAACATTGGCCTTAAAAGTAAAGCCTGTACAAGTAAAGCACTGGTTAGTCATACACTCAGCAACACAACTGTTTCAAAGATGGTTGTGTTACTTGGCCATCCTCCTTGCAACACGTCTGTCTGATCAGAGACCCGGTTGGGCTGGAAATGCCCTGTGGGATCAC